GGTGTATCAACACTTTTGCATATAATCTGATGCAAAGCTACATCATGTCTGTGCTCAGTTGTGTCCCCATGAGGGGAGACACTTTGGAGGACTGGGTAGAGTCTGTTTGCTATCGTGTGCCTCTGCTTATTGTCCTTAAACTGCACAAGGGCTGGGAAATGCGATACTCAGGTACTTGGGGGACAAGCTCATTAAAAGAGGATGAGAATGAAGCTTTACCTAAGCATCAGCATGGGACGGGATTTTGAATTTTATTTTTGTTGCAAAGCTCATTGAAATGAGATTCTTTTTAATGGTGGGCTATCAATTACTGACACCCACTGTCTGCAGTGCTCTGAGAGTTCTTGTTTCCCAGTATTTGATTATGTTTTGAAAATGTGTACTCTGCTAGACACGCGAGCAATGGTCATGCATAGATGAACATCAAAGGAAGAAACAGATCTGCTTCCCCAGGTGTGGAAACACAGATGTTTATTCCTGTATGTCGCCCATCCACACCTCCTATAGCCATATTAATAGCCATTGTGTTCAAAAAACGTGTAGATGTGGCACTTCCGGACATGGCTTAGTGGGCACGGTGGTGTTGGGTTGATCGTTGGACTTGATGATCTTAAAGGTCTTTTCCAACCTTAATGATTCTGTGATTCTATATCACTTTCACAATGAGAGTCCACTTCTAATATGGCATGTCAAGCTCCTTCTCATGTTTTCCTACTGATTAGGTAAAAGACACTTGACGGTGTGTGTCATTTGAAACTTGGGACAAGCAAAACAAGCAACCATTAGCTCCCCCTGAAATATTTATCTCAGTAAGGGCAGTTCTTTAGGTTTCTCTCCTCCACTGAAACCACCGATTGTCACTAAACTTGCTGGCCAGCTGTGCAGGAGCACAGCAGCCATGCTCTCGTAGCAAACTGAGCAAGAAAAAAGCCAACCCTCCCCAAAGAAGAAAATCCAGACCATTTTTTTTCCATATAGTTTGGTTATTTTGAACGTCATAACTTTATTGAGACACCAGTAGTTACCACCTTCACTTTGTTAACCACAAATATATAGGACATTGTAAACACAGGTGCCGAGGTGGCAGGGTTCGCAGTAGTTGGATTTTGGAACAGATGGGGACAAGGGGCAGAGGGGGAAGAGGGATGAAGGTACACTCAGGCTTAGACAAGACCACTCAGGGGATCCTGTATGCAGCAGGCCATCCATGAGTCATCGTATACACGTATATATGTATAGCTTTATATTATACATCTTTTTAAATATATATATATAATATATATACTATACACAGGCAGTAATGCGGCAGGGGAAGGGGCAGGGCAGCCCAGGGGGTGTTACAGATGCCACGCAGGCAGCAGGGAGTTGTCTGGATGGATGGTTTGGACGTGCTGCATGAGGTGGCCTCACTGGGCTCCTTGCCTTGTACCTGCTCTGGGGACCGGAGCTGAGACTCCTGTGGGAACCACCCCACAACGCTGCCTTCCCAGGTCCTCCCAAGTGCTTGCAAGGGTGCAGGGACAAAGACGCCTCCTCCTCTGAGGGAACTGCCAGGAATAACGTGGAGGAGAAGGGTGTGTGATGCGGTGATGAAGAGTGTTGTGGTGATATGCGTGAGGGATGGGGACATGTCAGGAGACTGAAGCCACAGGTAGAATTGGGGCAAAGTTTCATCACCGCCCTTCACAGCCCCTGCTTCCACAAAACAGTCCCTTACTCGGAGGCTTCGTGAGATAAGACATCAAGGGGCCATTGCTCCCAACAGGGGATGCATAATCCTCTGTAATCCAGACAAATGGCAGAGGGAGAAGAAAGCCGCCTTATCGTTTTGCTTATACAGCCTTCCTTCTGATCTCCTAATCCCTAGAGTGGGGCTGATCTCACCCACGTTTAGGATCTGAAAGGGACATGTTCCAGTCAGCTGTTCAGGGCTTGCCTATAGTCACCAGAAATAGGCAGCACCTTATCAGAAGCGCTTTAAGATAACAAACCCTTTGGGTAGGTCCGTATCTCTCATCAGCTGCAGAACCAGCCAAATGCCACTGGAAATTGCATTTTGAAGAGCTACATGCAAACAAGGAGAGTCCTACCCCCAGGTCTGCCACCACCAACCCTCCACTGCAAAGGCTGAAAGCATGTCAACCCAAGGAGAGTATGTCTTCTCCAGTGAGCAGAAGCAAGAAGTTGCCCAAGTATCTACTCTTGTAGTGTCCCCTGCCACACCAATGCCTTTCCTACAACACAAAGCACGGAGGAAAGGGACAGAGAGATGGGTAGTAACTCAGGATGAAGCCACCTGGCTCATGTCTCACTGAAGTGCCGGCTCCGAGGGGGAGGCTCCTTCCTACCTCAAGCCCACCGGAGCCCATCAGCTGTTTACATGAGGGAAGCAAGCCAAAGAGGATAAAGAAAAGCTTGCTCAGTAGTCAACCCAAAATGGTGTTCAGCTGTCTATGTAACTGATGGGAGAAGGAGCATGTAAAATGCTCCTGTGCTACCCCCCAAAACAGAGCCCCAGACAGACCCTCCATGTATGGTCTGTACCCTTTCTCATGCGCCTGGTCCTTCATCCCCTCACCAAGGAGAGGTGACAGGTAATGGGCAGTTCCTCCCAAAAAGTACAACACATTTTTGTGCTGAGGGCTGGTTATTTATAGCCGCCTCCTCCTCTTGGCTCCCCCTCCCACACCCAAAATGAAAGCATGAAGGATGACACAGATGAGTCTGAGTGAGTACAACTAGTTTTTCTCCTCCTCCGCCTCGTCATTCATTCTCCTCTCCCCCAGCAGGAGAGATGGACTGGAGGGAGGTCCCCACACAGCCACAGTCATAACGAACCTCTCTCAATAAAGTAACCCCCTCCCAAGCCTAAATATTAGGCTGAGCCCACAGAAGAAGCCTGAGGGGCTTCCCTTCAAAAAATACCCCTCCTATTTACAGTACTGCTTTCGCTCGCAGCCACAGAGCAACGGATGTGTGCCCAGTCCCTCCTGGTGCATCCACAGGGCTAGCTGGTCTTCCTTTCCCATCCTCACCAGGGGTTAACCACCAGCAAGGGGGGAAAAGCCATGGGGAGGACAAGCCATGGGGCAGCCACTGGCAGCACAGGTCTGCTGGTAGGAGCAGGTAGAAATGGTGCCTATATACAGCAGAGAACCACTGCCCCGTTTCCCTCTTGGGGCCTGCAGCTCTGTGATTTCTACCCCTTCCCTATTGTTGTGGGGCAGCTGGAGAGGAGTCGCAGAGGGAGGATGGTAAGGACTGGTAACCTCAGTGTCCTCCAGATGAGATGTTCACACAACCACAGGCCAGACCTGTGTCACATCCTCCCAATTCCTAAGGGTGCTACATGGAATAGGCTGGATGCTCAGGGGGAGCACCTATGGATTTTGGATCTGCTCCCAATCTCTGCTACTGGGGCCAGTGTTGAGTGGAGCAAGGTGGCTGCCTGGGGGACGGAGCTCCTCACCACTGCAAGGCACACCTCGCTTCTTGTGCTCTGAGAGATATCTGTGCTGGGGAGAATTGTCCATGTGGCTATTGCTGAATTATTTCCCTTTAGGGAGCATCTTCACACGTAGACCTTACTTCTATCCTGGAATAAAGAGTGTGCTTCCACAGCTGTGTCTTTACTTGAAGCAAAATCATAAGGAGTGTGGAATGATGTCCATACGAGCTCTATCTGAGAGTCGCTGCTGCCACCTAGGCGAGGCTTTACAGAGAGCCAGGATCTGAGATGCTGCAGAAGACTCGCTAAGGGTTCGGTCCAAGTACAGTACAGTAAGACCAGTTTTCAGAGAGCTCAGTCTGGCCCCAACCAATTCTCTGCACACCAAGACCTCCTCCCCATCTAAGCGGGAGGCAAAGCGCAGCCGCGCAGGACAGGACCCTTCTCCGCTTGGCTGTACCCCTGTGCGAGAGCCGGGCGCACGCTGGCCGTCCCAGCAGTGGTATTTCTTTCCGGGGGGAGTCCTGCTCCATTCCTGTGTGCTACAAAGATGGTGTCAGCAAGAGGCTTCGCACTGTGGTAGCAGAGGAACGGAGGAGGGTTCAGCAGGACCTGAGGAGGGGCTTTC